AATTTTCTAACCCCCCCTCCCCATCATTTGCCCTGTCTTCTCCAATATAATTTCATCTCCAGTATGGAAAAGTAAAGACAGCTGCCATTGGGAGTCACACCAATAATCTTGGGAAGATGGCAGTTTGTTCTCCTGAGACTTCCCTGACAGCCGTTATTCCCACGGTTGCTTCTGTCGACATCCCAGATCATGTGCAAATTTTATGCAGAAATGAACCTTGTTTTATCCTTCAAAAAAATTTTTTTTTGACTGCTGTAATTCTTTTCTTAGCAACACGCATGCAGCCAATCTTGTGTTTTAACTGCTCACGTTTCCTCTTAAAATATGCAGTTTTGGATATATTTTCCTATATATTTAAATATATATATTTTAAAAAGCTAAGAATAGCATCCCAACTAAGAACCACACGCTGGTCTGAGAAACCCAGATTCCACCAGTTGTTAGATAAAGATTTTTAGGACCTTATTGGGATGTCCATCAAACAGAGAGACGGCAGGGTCTGCTTGGATATGAGGACCACCATTCTGGGTCACCACCCAAGAAACAATTGCCAGAACTGAAGAAGCTTCTTGGATGAGAAGTGAAACATTTTCCAGGGGGAAAAACCCCCCAAGAATATCCAGTTGCTTATGCGGGGGGAATACCCCACCTCTTGGACAAGCATGATCAGGATGATGGAGAAGCTGCATAGATACTAGATTTATAGACTACCTTAAACCAGGTTCTTCGAAATGATCAATATTGATAGTCTATGAGACTATCCAGCAACCTACTCACTTACTTACTTCCTCCCTTTCTTTCCTTCTTCTTTCCTCCCTCCCTCTTTCTTTCCTTCCCTCTTTCTTTCCTTCCCCCCTCCCTCTTTCTTTCCCTCCTTCCTTCTTCCCTCCCTCCCTTTCCTTTCTTCAAAAAGGTTGATATTGATCCCAAAGAATCTGAGATTATCCAATGTCTTCCTCCCTCCCTCCTTCTTTCCTTCCTTCCTTCACCACCCTCTCTCTTTCTTTCCCTCCTTCCTTCTTCCCTCCTCCCTTTCCTTTCTTCAAAATGGTCAATATCGATCCCAAAGAATCTGAGATTATCCAATGACTTCCTCTCTCCCTCCTTGTTTCCTTCCTTCCTTCACCCCCCTCTCTCTTTCCTTCCCTCCTTCCTTCTTTCCTTCTTCCCTTTCCCTTTCCTTTCTTCAAAATGATCGATATTGATCCCAAAGAATCTGAGATTATCCAATGACTTCCTCCCTTGCTCCCTCTTTCTTTCCTCCCTCCCTCCTTCTCTCTTTCCTTCCTCCTTCCTTCCTTCTCCCCCCTTCCTTTCCTTTCCTTTCTTCAAAAAGTTCGATATTGATCCCAAAGGAGCTATGAGACTATCAACCATTTCTTCCTTTCCTCCCTCCTTCTCACTCCCTTTCCTTCCCTTCCCTTATCTTCTTCCCTCCCTCTCTCCCTCTTTCTTTCTTTCTTTCTTCCTTTCTTTCCTCCCTCCCTTCCCTTTCCTTCTTCCCTTCCTCTCTCCCTCTTTCTTTCTTTCTTTCTTTCTTTCCTTTCCTTCCTCCCTCCATTTCCTTCCCTTCTTCCCTCCCTCTTTCTTTCTTTCCTTTCCTCCCTCCATTCCCTCCCCTTTCCTTCTTCCCTCCCTCTCTCCCTCTTTCTTTCTTTCTTTCCTTTCCTCCCTCCCTCATCTCTTTCTCTCTCTCTCTCTTTCTCTCTCTCTCTCTCTCTCTGCCCCCCCAAGCATTTCCTTGCAACCAATTCTCCAGCTGCCTCTCTCAGAATGATCAATAGTCTGTCTCTTTTCTCCGCCAAGGAATTTTACCTGCCCAGATTTTTTTTTCCAATATTGCACCCTTCCTCCTCCTAGCTAAAAACTGTCCAGGAGAAAACCATCCCATCAAAAACCACCGGCTGGCAGGAAAGGCTGGAAGCAGGATCTTGCAAAGGTTAAATAAAAGTGGTTAAAGAATGAAAGCCGGGTGGGTTTAGAAAACAAACCTCTTTGTGCCACCGAAACTGAGTTCCGCTAGAATGTTGAGGCCCTCTGTTGGAAAAATTTGGAAAAACACAACTGTAACTTCCACCCCCGCGGTGCTTGTGGTTCTTGAAAGCTGAAGATTGTATGCAAGGGCTTCACAAAGTCTTCCCAAGGTGGAATAGGAAAGTCCTAGCTGCATTTGATGCTAGCTGGGCTGCCTGGGAGTGACACGACGACAGAGTTTTCTGGCCCAATTTTTTGTTTTAGATATCGATTAGGATTTACACAGCAGACCACTAATACCAATCCTAACCCTAATCTCTGCTATTGTCCTGACCGAGGCTTCCCGAGAGCAGGAAGCAAATTCCTGGTCCTGACAAAAACACCTTTTATTTATTGACTGTGGATTCTGCTCATTCACATCCAGCAAAGTCTTTCGAGGGAGGATTTACAGTCACAGACCTTATCTGGCTTGGAGAGCTGCCAGGCCAATATTCTGCAGAACTTGGCAAGGAGTCTCGGAGGGATACAAAATAAAGATGGGAACTAATTGCCGCCTGCAAATT